CGTGCCCACAGAGAGGGCTCTGTGTGCCACCTGTGGACGCGAGCCATAAATTCGCCATCATGGCCCTATAGCGTCATTTTGAGAGTAGAAGTTGAAACAATTTATGTCCAGGATGTGAGGGGTCTGTAGATATTTTCTCAGCCCTCTTTTTGACTCGTGCAGTATACAGGTCCTCAATGGAAGGCAGGTTGGTAGCAATTGTTTTTTCTGCAGTTCTAATTATCTGAAGTCTGTGTCTGTCTTGTTTGGTTGCAGAGCCAAACCAGACAGTTATAGAGGTGCAGATGACAGACTCAATAATTCCTTTGTAGAACTGTATTAGCAGCTCTTTGGGCAGTCTGACTTGGCGCAAAAAGAACATTCTTTGTTGTGCTTTTTTGATGACATTTTTGATTTTAGGTGTCCATTTTCAGTCTTGAGATATGATAGAACCTAGAAACTTGAAGGTCTCTATTTTTGCCACAGATAAGTGAATCACTGTAGTTGTTAAATTAGTAACAGGGTTGTTAAGTGAATCTGGCTTCCCCAATGTCTTTGCTTCTGAGAAAGTTGCAGAAGGTGATCACATGACCCCAATACATTGCAGCCGTCAAACATATGAATCAGTTTCCAAGCATCTGAATTTTGATCATGTGACCATGGGGATGCTGCAATGGTTGTAGGTGTAAAAAACAATCATAGCTCACTTTTTTCAGTGCTATGGTAACTTTGAACTACACAAACGACTGTAAATCAAGGACTACCTATAGTTCCCCATTCCCAAGTGCAAGGAATCAAAAGGAGATAAGAATTATTTCATAATCAGCAACCCAGAAAAGAAATAGTACAAATTCTTGTCACTCCCTGGGTTACATTTTTTCAGGAGCATCTGGCAAACAATTTTCATACCTTATTGCTGAATGAGCTAAGAAGATGGGGGGAAAAGTGAAGCCAAAATATTACCGAAATCTGTATGAGCAGATAAAAAGCAGAGCAGAAGCTGAGAAACGTTGTTTTCTTTCCATCCTTTCTTACTTGGCCTCAGGGTGGCATAATTTCACCCTCATTCTGCATACATGTCAGTATTCGCTGATAAATAAGATCCATGCCTTGTTTTGACATGCCTGTGATTTTTTTTCTGTCGACCATGGAACTTAAAGGTTAAGCAATCTGGAAACTTTTCTGGGACTGGGATGCATATAACCTTTCCTGTTCAAGGAATACATTAGAAAAAATCAGTATCATCTGGGATTCTTTTCTGAACATACTCACTACAGGGTGAGGCCAATTGCATACAGAATATACTTTATGCAAAAGGGCATTGATGCAAGTGTGACTCGCAAATCATGTCAATGCAGCATGCACAAATCCTGTTATATATTCAAATCACAGGACTGCCTTTTTTCAGCTGTAATGGTACAAGCCTGGTTAGAAAAGACCAATCTGATTGTCTTTTCATCTTGATAATCTCACATTTAATGTGGCTGATTAACAGAGGATCAATCTAGTCAGTGTCAATGTCGATATCATTGTGCGGTTTAGTACAGTGGTAAACTGGCTGAGGAATTTGAGGAGTTGAGTTGTCATTTTAAAGTCACCCAGGCTGAGAAATTCTGCAATAGAGATTAAGATCATAAAAGGCTCAGCAGTGGCACTGGATGTTTTGTTCCGTGAAGCAAAAATGACCTGGGAACAATTTTAAAAAATTCCTCAAATCTGACCCTTGATGTACCACACTTGTGACATTCTTGCAACAAAGAAAAAGCTGTAGCTGCCTTGTGAGTTTTCCTTTTCCTTCCTACTAATTCAGATGAGACACAGAAACTCCCTGGCAGCTCAGGGTAGCAAATGGGAATGTTTCTTGGCCGTATCTGAAGAGGCTGGAAAAGAATTCTGGAAATTTCTGTACATAAAGGAGAGTTGCTATAGGTCAGAGGTGGGTTTCAGGAGGTTCTGACCAGTTCTGGAGAACTGGTAGTGGAAATTTTGAGTAGTTCGGAGAACTGGTAGTAAAAATTCTGACTGGCCCCGCCCTCATCTATTCTCTGCTTCCCAAGTCCCAGCTGATCGGGAGGAAATGGGGATTTTGCAGTAAACTTTCCCTGGAGTGGGGAGGGAATGGAGATTTTACAGTATCCTTTCCCTGCCACACCCACCAAGCCACACAACACCCCCAAGCCACGCCCACAGAACTGGTAGTAAAAATTTTTGAAACCCATCACTATTATAGGTGTCTTTTTCTTGAAAAGGATGCTGGCTATCTTGTAAAGAGTAGCAAGAAATGCTTTTTGTGCAATGTCTTTTTCCTGTGGTTGAGATATAAATCAATGAGAAGCCACTTTTTTCCCAACATCTAAAAAATTTGCAATTTTTACATTCCTTTAAATTTAATTCCCTTCATTCAGATATTCTTAAATCTACATGCTTGTTCTGGGAATGACAGATTTATCCAAGAAAGTTTGAAAAGAGGTATCTGATATCAATAATATCCTGTATTGAAGAAAGTACATTGATTCTTAATCTAGATGAGACAAAATGCTCTCAGTCTATTAAAGGAAAAATCAAAAATTTCCTACATATTTTGAATACCATTTTGGATGAAGGGCATATAAATCTAATGAATAATAATAATAATAATAATAATAATAATAATAATAATAATAATAACATTTATATGCTGTTCAACTCTTAGTGATCGTAGGTAGTTCACAAATGATTAAAAATGTTAAAAACAAGAAAACCACACAAAATAAAAAAGGAACAAGGAAGTCAGAGATAACAAACTCAGATGGGAACAAAGAAAAAGAAGAAATGAATGCATATTTTTCTTTGGATTTTTGGTTGCTTTTGCCAGAGAGAAAGATGGGGCTCTAAAAGCAGTTTTTTTCCTACACCGGCTGATTAGAAAGAAGTGCTCCAACTGACCATCAGATCATTTAATGGGATGTAGCAGATCGAAGGGCCCGTGCCGTTCAGCATTTCACATTGCTGATCATTTACACAGTAGGGTGGTGCAGACACTTGAGCTTGCATTATCCTCCAGAGTGATCCTTGACTGACAGGTTTGCTTTGCAGAGTAGTTCAGGCCAAAGGCCATGAACTCACAGTTGGTTATGTTATTGAGTGAAGCCGGTTAAGCTTCTGCCATCCCATCCCTTTGCAGTGCTCCAGCTGTCTACCAATTTTCACTTCTCCCAGCCTCACTCTCTAGCGATATTAAGGAGAGCAATTGGTAGATAGAGCAATTGCTAGATATTTTTCCAGCCCTAGAAAAACCATCAATCATTGTACCTTAATTTGCCCCATAGCAAAGTGGTAGAACAATATCACTTATCAGCTTCATTGATGAGGCAGTGACCAGGGTCCATAATAGGGTAGAAATCAGCTATGTAAACAGAACAATTTTGTGCTGCCATACTTTGTGCCTTGTGGACTGGAAGATAACAAACTGGTCATCTGGGTGTGCCCTAAGTGAGCGTTATCAGTTTTGGGGTGCCATGGAAAGACAACAAACTGTTACTTGTTATATACCAATACATTCTTACCATCAGGGAGGGAGGAGAGAAATAAACTTGAAATGTTCCGTCTTAGCTGCCAGAGCTTGGGTGGCCTTGGTTACTTTGCCCTGAAGCTGGGCAAGTCAGAAGATGTGAATTTGCTGCTCTACCTCAGGCAGCTGATGGCTTGTTCTTGCTTGTTTTCCTCTTCATGGCTTAGGCTAAAAAAAAGTGTTTTGCTGCCTAAAGCAAATAGAAAAAGCACTACCCTCCCTCATTTAGAAGTTGGCCAGACAGGCTGTTGAGTCTGCCTTCAACCATTGGCTGGCTGCTCCCTACCTGAAGGCAGCTGGCTAGCTTAAGGATATATAAACAGGGTGCATATATTGCTCAGGGCACATATACAACTTGTCTGCCAACTTGTCATATTACTCAGGATTCACAGCTTACCTGAACAAAAGCTACTTAGAAGCTCAACAGAGCATAGCACTGTTAGATAAGAATCTTTAATGCATGCTAGAATGAAGCCACTTATGTAGCTCATTTCTTCTGTCATTGAGGGATTGTGGTGCCCTTCTATATGTAATGAAATTGAAACCCAACAGTTCTTTTTCCCACTTTTCACCTTTCTTTGTAATTTTCAGAATTGGTGCAAAGTAGCAGTTGGCTGTTGACATACTGTAATTAGTGAATGACAGAGTCTTCCCAGATATACAGTAGCTTTTCCAGATGATTCAGTCCCAACCCCCCAACCCCCATTTTTAGCTAGAATCTAGCTAGAATCCAGAATCAAGTCTGTTCTGGATGTATTGACTATGTTCAGATTTATCTGGAGATCAATATGCTACCTACACTGGAATGTTTATACACTTGAGAAAACAGAATTATCAGCTAATCACAATGTCCCTTTCTGGCAACTGCTGAGCACTGAGACCTGTCAGCCAATTGCTGGCATTTCTCTGTTTTCCTTATGGTGACAAACTTCTATTGCCTTCCAAACTCAATCCAGCATTTGGGCTCTTTCAACTGTTCTATCATGATGTTTTGATGGACTTCCAGGAACTCTGTCCAGGAAGAGCACAGGCTGTCCTTTCAAACGTGAGAAGAAGTATGCTGCTATTTCTGAAGCAGCATTCATTGCCTTGAAATGCTGTTTCTCCATCCACAGATACAATGCTACTGCTACAAATTAAAACTGCTCACAGCTTTAAACCACTATTTGGCAATATGTGTGCATATATTACTTATGTATCCTCTGTTCCTTCACCAGTTTAAGGAATTCTTGCAAGTGGATCTTACTTTATTTTAAACCCACAACAGCAACCCTGTGAAAGAAGTTAGGCTGAGAGACAGTAACTGGCCAAATGTTATCCACTGAATTTCCATAGTTAAAGATAGATTTGGACCTAAGCCATAGTCCTTAATCACTATACCAAACAGTCATATGACTTATCTTTGCCACATTGTCAGAATTTTTGTTACAGTAAGGCTACCACATGTAGGCTTTAAGCATTTGGATGGCCATTAGATGGAGGCAAACAGATACAGAAAATCAGTAGTCTGGACTTTTGCAACCCAGATGTGGGAGCTCTAATGAGGATTAGTAAATTGAATACAAATAAGAATTATTTGTTGCATGGCAAGCAAAAATAGTTGTCTGAAGAAAATAACCAAACACTTTGTTTAGAGTTTTAATTTTTATTATCATCTGCAGTAATACATAGGAAGATAAGTTAACCGAAATTCAGGACCCAGGGATGTTATGCTTCTCACACTTAAAAAAAATGCAGAATTGATTAAGTGCATTTTATGGATTATATTACCCCACCTTCTGTTCTATATTCTTGATCTGTAGAAAGATATGACTACCCTAAAGCACCCTACATAGTAAATACATTCATCATCACCACATATTCCAAATGTGGTACATTCTGCTTTCATGCCTAAGCATGCATCTGATTTTAAACTGATATAAATTAATTCCATTTGTCAGGTGAAGGGACTAGAAGCACTTATTCCATCTAATGTTCTTTCCAAGATCAATAGTTTGATATACTGATGAAATATGGGTTTGCTTATATTATCTTCAACTAAGGTTCAACCTTTGTGTCTGCAATTTGTATTTTGAAAGGCTATAAGTGGAAAACCTTTGTTTGAAATTGTTCTCTCTGGAAAGTTCCCGCCTTCTAAGGCTAATTTCAGACAAATGAGTCATGTCCTGCTAATAAAAAGACATTGGCAACTACTTTTTTAAAGCATTTTTTCCTTAGCAAATTTTCTGAAAAAAGAAAAAAAATAGAGGAAATGGTAGGAAGACCATATCATACATATTATACTTGACTAGGTTTACATAATATGTTGCAAAATATTATAAAACTTAATGATTGATTTTAAACAATAACCAAACTAATACCGCACATTATAGCTTAGTCTGATGAAGTTTCTTTCAAATCAAGTTAAGCTTTTGTTGACCTCATTTACATGATGTTTCCTCGTTAGAAATACTAAAAGTTGATTTTAAAGCAGTGGCCACTGTCTTCTTTGGAGATTGTTTTTCACCATCCCATTCTTGTCTCCAGCCCTGATATTTTATATTTAGATGTATGAACTTGTCTAAAAGTCTTCTTCTAGGTTTAGGACTTCCAATGAGGACATGGCGAACTGAAGACATCTACAGAGAAGCCGAGATATTATGGGTGAAATTGTGGCTGGATGCAAGATCTGAGTCAACAAAATGAGAAACCATGAGCTCACTCAAACATATTCTGGACAGTGGCATTTTGTGAACAGACAGCAGGAACCAATGTTTTTGTGATGAGCAGCTGGGAGTTGAGGGATTCCATTTTAGGCTTAGTCCAGGGATCAGCAACCTGCGGCTCTGTAGCCGCATGTGGCTCTTTCACCCTTCTGCTGCAGCTTCCTGTCACTCAAAATATGCGTCACAACCACCAATGTGTGACACCCACCGGCATGAGATTTATTGAGCTTTTCAACCCCGGATAGGCCAACCATGGATAAATCTAAGAAAAGAAAAGTTTCAGAAGAAAACAGAATGTTTAATTCAACTACATATGCTATTTTTGTGGCTGCTCAAGAAATAGTCAGGCACGGGAAGGGTTTTGTGGCTTCCGGTGTCTTCTTTTCTGTGGGAAATGGGTCCAAATGGCTCCTTGAGTGTTTAAGATTGCAGATCCCAAGAATGACAACACAATCCAGCCAAACTTCAGTTCTTTATTTGCTTACACTGTATAGACAGAATCTTGCCAAGCTAAACCTATACTACTTTAATTTAATGGCTATGACTTTAAATTACCCCCAAGACCACTCTCACTAACACTGACAGGGCAAGCTATTAATGTATAAAATGAAAGGAAACCCCATTCCTTTCTAGCACTGATGATGTTATCTAGTTTGATAATGAAACATCTGCAGGAAAGCAACCAAGCTGAGAGAGCACCAAGAACCTCACAGACAGTGATAAGATGTTAAAATTATTTATAGTTGCTGGGATGAAGGGGGAAGTTATTTATTTTGTTTCTTTCTCATTTTAGTTTTTTTCTTTGCACCTTTTTAATACTTTGTATCAGTTTTATCTGCACTATGTAACCTTTAATAAATTATATAAAAAAGTTTTCTTCTAAAGAATGGTTTAATGAGAGAAAACCAAAAGGGAGCATTGGGTCTAGGAATTTCCTGACAACAAGAGGCACCCAGCAGCAGATGAAAAGGCAGAAACATACATATTCTTTCTCCAGTATGGTAGATAAATATACATCTCTGTCTGTACATATATGCAAATCTTTTCAGATGCTGCTGTTACACTTTTGGTGAGACCAACATAGTCTGATGTTCTTTGGAATATAAGACAAGAGCAAGAAAGCATTTTAACAAAAATAAAAAGAGAGTTTAGTTTTAAAGTAGAAAATGCAAGGGAATATTTTTATGATGTCTCATGGAGATGTTTGTTTCATAAGCATGGATCAAATCCAATACTTTATAAGAAACATATGAAGGTTTTGGATCTCAGGCAGGGCTTTGGCCTAAGGCTGCCAATAGAGCTGTTTTGTAAGAAAGATGAAAGACAGGTTTATTTTTTCTGGCATAGCGTGTCAGGCAGTCCAATGCAGTTCTTATCGCTCAGATCTGGACAGGAAAGTTGTTTAAATCACATCTGGCTGCAGAGAAGGAGTCATGTCATTAGGTTAAACAAGGGGATGAAAGGAAAAATGCAAAAGACTTCTGATTCATGTTCCAATTTGAATTTTCACCTAGTTCTTCTTGCATTTAGAGCATCTGATTAGTTACATGTGACCCTTGTCAGAGTACTCATCAAATGTTAAAAGTATAAAAATAACATAGAGAGATTTTATAAAAAAAATAATAAACCCCCTTTCCAGCCTGCCTTCCTTCATTCCCAGACTGTAGAAATAATAGCTTCATTAAACCAGAAGAGGACTATGAAGAGTAATTGAAGGGAAGCTAAGAAAAGAATTTATACCCATGTTTTCCCGAAAATAAGACCGTCTTATATTTTTTTGAACCCTGAAATAAGTGCTTTGCCTTATTGCCATGTGCTCAAAAGCCCAATTGGGCTTATTATCAGGGGATGTCTTATTTTGGGGAAAACAGGGTAGTTACATGCTTTCTCTTGGATGACAAGTCCCTCATCTGCTCTTGGTTTGTATTCCTACCAGATTCATGTCCTAATGGAAACTAAGAACTGGGGATGCTTTCCTAAATGGATCATTTATCTGTGAGTTTGAGTCTCAGACTTTGTTCTACCTGTGAGCGTCTATTGTAAAAAAGAATAAGTGTATAATTTATTTATTTTGTATCCTACCTTTATTATTTTTACAAATAACTCAAGGTGGCGAACATATTCAACACACCTTCTCTTCCTATCTTCCTCACAACAACAGCAACCCTGTGAGTTAGACTGGACTAAGAGAATTACTGGCCCATGATCACCCAGCTGGCTTTCATGGCTAAAATGGGATTTGAACATAAGATCACCTGTTTTCTAGCCTGGTGCCTTAACCACTAGACCAAACCAGCTCTCAATAATAGATAAAGTTGTTTTTTTGGGTCATCTAGTTTATTTACTGTTGAATTTCTCCTGTATCTTGTCCCTATATGGGATTTTCTTTAAGATAATTCATTTCTTTGTAATACTGCTGTGTCATCAAAACATTTCTTCTAATTGTCAACCAAATATAATCCTGCCATAATTTACACCCTTTTGTTCTAAGCCTATCTTCTGAAACATGAGAGAAACAAATTTAATTTTAACTTTCCTAAGATTATTTTCCTGCATAAGGCTGTGTCTATCTGAAATCTGTGTCATACTCTTATATCCATACAATGCCATACAACAGAGGTTGGGCATGGGAAACTTAATTCTTGCTACAGAGGAGCCACTGCAAAAACAGTTTTACAATACTTCATCTAGAGCTCTGTGGTGGGCAATTGTCTATTGAAGGGAATCTATCCTCTGTTCTACATTCTGAGATTCTCTGGAAATCAGACCATTGTATTCTCTTCCCATCATCCCTATGTTTGGGTGTAATTAGAGGAGCAGCTTTTTCACAATTCCTATGCAGTCATTTGTGGTCCTCCCCTCACTATTGTGCAATCAAGGGAGGACAGAGAAAGAAAGTAGAAGCCCTGTTTGTAGCCCTGATTTTTCCACTTTCTGGTCAGCCGGTGGCCTTTTCATCCTCCCCACCTCTCAGTTCAGTAATAAAGATACTTGTATGATGCAGTAAAATTATGGCAGAGCACAAAGGCTGGTGGCTCAGCAGACTGATAGCATTGTGATTAACACCAGCTGTCTGCAATTACTATAAATTCGAATCTCACCAGGCTCAAGGTTGACTCAGCCTTCCATGAGCCTCCGGAGAAGGGCGGCATATAAATCATTTTTTTTTTTTTAAAAAGGGGAAGCTTGCTTGTTATGTGGAACTCCTTTGATAACAATCCTTCAGATATTTGAAGAATAGGTCTGCCAAAGAATTGTTGCATAATGCAAATGGCAAGATGGTATCATCCCTGCAGTAGCATGTGCAGAAATCAATTGGACTGCAGTTGAATCTTACTTTGATATTAACCCTTGCCATTAAATTGTAAAATAGTTGATAGTTTAGAGTTAAAAGCAAGTTAAAAGCAAGCTCTATTTTCCAGTACTTGCTATTACTGTTACACTGCTGTCATTTGCTACCTGGTTCAGCTAAGGTTTCAGTTGAATGTAAGGCTAGCCCTAAAAAGTGCCACCATGCCCCCTCTTAGTCTTCCTTATCCTGGGCTAAATATTTCCAGTACCATTCATCAAAGGACCTTACCTTCATCCTCCTTAAATGATGGTGTCCAGAAGAAGACATTTGGAGCATTCTGCTTGTGGTTGACACTGAGATTTACATGTACTGTCTTTGAATTGATTCTGTATACCAATAATAAGCATGTTATTGCTAAGATGTATAAGCTTTCACTGAAAATGAATATAGAAGATGAATATGTTAAAGACTTAACTTTATGAAATGGGCAAAAAGTCTGGATATATAATTGGGTATAATTTGGAAGAGATTCTTTTTAAAATGATGTACTGTTGGTATTTAATGTCTGATAAACTATCAAACATGTGTAAGGGGAGTGCCAAATAGATTTTGGAAATGCAATCAATGGGAAGGTAATTTTTACCATTTTGGTGGACATGTGACGATGATGTTATCCATTCAGTCAAGTCCAATTTATGGTGATTTTGTTGGCCAGGTCTCTTCACATCTTCCTATCTTGCACTATTCATTGAGTTTTTCCATACTCTGGACATGTACAAAACTAAAAAATACTGGCATCAGATATGTATTTTAATCCAGAGAATTCTTAAATTAAATATTCAATTGAACCCAAAGATTTTTCCTCAAGGTTTGATGGTTAAAAAGATTGAAGGAAATATGGAACTTTGTTTCTATGCTTGAGGATGGCAGTGAGACTCTGGTATGCACAGAGATAAAAGGACTTACAAATTCCTACAATGGAAGAATGGATGATGAAGCTAATAGAATTGGCTGAGATGGCTGGGATTAATCAGAGATTGACCATTCTAATTAAAGAAAAGACTTTGGCTAACTTTGTTTTTACTTAGAAATCACTTCTGGATTTCTTGCTAGAAACAGAAAGAAAATGAAAATTTAATTTTGGAATTTGATGATTAGAACTGTTTATGATTATAGAAACGCTGTGTATTTTTGGTGATTTTAGAGTGAGAAGTTAACGTATTTTACATTTGTATCTCCACTAAAGAAAGTTGGAAGTTTTTTTCCCCCTTTCCTTTTTATTTCCCCTTGCACTCTTGACTTTGCCTTTTCTTTAACCTCCCCATTCCCTAACCACTTTTTTTTGTACTTTATTTTTCACTGAAACTTAATAATTATTTTAAAAAAAGAAATCAGTAATTTTTAAACATTTATTGTGAACAAATCAGGATACAAATTTCCTTTTTATTTTAATTTGATGGGCACCAGGTAGCCTATGCAAACCTCTGGGAAACATCTAATGTGTCCAAATTGGTACCCATTCAGAAGTAAGGCAAAACATGGTCTGGATGTTCTTCTTATGAAAAGAAAGTACACATGCCAAAGTTTTGATTGGTTCAATATTTGTTATATTGAACAAATACATCCGAAGGCTGTTTATTACTAATATAAAAATGCTATTAGATTGAAAATAGCCTCCAGGTGTACTTTTAAATATCTAGCCAGGTGGTTTCTTTCCACAAGCTCAGACATTTAACTCTGAGCATAGAGAGAAGATTTTTCCCCTTTCTTTTTAATGATATTTGGATGAGGAGTCCAATTGTTCCATTTGTTATGCTTGTCCAAATGTCATGGATTGTTCATTCTGTCATTACATGCGTAATGGATTTCTTTAAACATTAATTCATCTGCAACTAATTTAGAAGTTGCTTCCTACGGATGCCAAACTCCCACTCAGTTCAAATACATGATTCCACATTTTCTAATTCCATCCTGAACATCTCTTTTTAGGTGGAGAAATCAGGTTGGGAAAAGCAGAAACTCAGACTTTTTTTTTCCCGCTCCTATTTTTTTCCTCCCTCTCCAGGACTCAAGTTAAGCTCTAAGTATTTAAAGGACTACTGTGCTTCAGAGCATGATTACTGAAGGCTAGAATGAGTACCACAGCTATCAGAGAGTTCCTGTATAAAAGTGTGATTTGCTTTCAAGACTCTATTCAAGGACCCTGTGTAGTTTAGATGCAGCCACACTGCCCCCAAGATGTGGCTTTGACTCCCATCAGCTACTAGCATCTGTTGTCCCACCCACTCACTCTCCTGGTTTCATTTCCTGAGGTTTCTGATTTCCTGAGTGAGGGATGGAAATATTCAGAAAGAGGGTGGCAGTCTGAAGGAGGAGGCTGCATGGAGAATGGGAGGGAGGGGTCACTTATCATAAATAAAAAGGTCTCCACTTTACCAGTGGAGTCTAGGAATATTGGGAGAAGAGAACCTGCCACATCAGAAAAAGCCCTACATAACAGAAGACAGCACAGATCATTATATTACAGTGAGTATGCAGAGCCTAACATCTGTGCACCAGTCAATTGCAAATGCAATAGCAACAAAGAAAGAAAAAGGTGTATATAGCACAATATTTGTGATCATGAATAATTTTAACAGGATAAATTCCAAAGGACTCCCCTTTGCTCTTTTAAAATGCAGGATTGTTAGTGAAAATAAGTGCTGGAATTAATACTAGAAATATTGGTTTATAATTGTAATAGGAGAGAAAATGATATGAAATGAGAGTGGATCTGAATGTTTTAAATGTGCATAGTTACATGATCTCTGTGATAGTACAACTTTTCATTTTCAAATAAAATTTCCTGGCTTTTATTTGAGCCTCAGAATTAAATGATATATTGCTTAGAATTGGGATAAGGAACATATGACTCTAATATTGTAGCTAAACTACAATTCCCAGGATACCTAATATTTGAAGCATGCTGAGTAGGTTGGATGAGAAGTGTAATTCAGCAGCAAGAAAGAAGGTAAGTTATATAACTTACTTAAAATGGTTTAATATTAGCACATAAAATGTTCTTCACTTTTTAAAAAGAACATAAAATTAAATTTGCATTAAAATGTTGCTGGATATTCCATATTTCCCAAATCATCTTTAACCTCTGATTTTAGCAACATAGTAAGTTGCCTATAATTAGCCAGTTAATTTTAATGAACACTATTAAGATATAATTCCATTAATTATGAGTCAAACTTGAAAATAGTATCATTTGGCAAAGAATTTTGTAAATAATAATAATTATAAACCAGAACCAATACAATCCCAAAGCATTGCTTATCAAAGTCAATGAAAATGATGATACAAGCCCATGTGGATCAAAACAGATTTTTCTCTGAAAATTTATCCTGCTTTAGTAAACTTTACATTATTTGCTTTGAGAAGTATTAGGCATGCTGTGAGAAAGATGCTTAAAATAAAAATATGGTGTTTAAAAGCCCATCCATATTTCTATACATTTCACAGTAAGCATGATAATGGATGGATGGATGGATGGATGCATGGATGGATGGATGGATGGATGGATGGATGGACAATCTGAGAGGAAGAAAAGATCAGATAAACCACAGATGGTGTTGTGGTGAGCCACTATTTTCTCTCCAAGCATGTCCTGATAGCTTCCTCTGAAAGCAAAGATCTGAATAACTCTCCTGTTTGCAAAGAACCCTCCACCATGCTGAGCCTCCTGAATTTTCCCATTCAGCACTCTTCCAATAACTCTGTTTGCCTCTGTTTCTCCCCCCCCACCATTTCCGCTGCAGAAACTTAGAGGACCGTAGGGTATCATGGACTAATGGCTACCATGATCCTCTGGTTGGCTGTCTGAGTTGCTCAGCAAGCAAGCAAGCGATTTCTGGTCACAGTGTGATTTTATAAGTGGTTTGAAATTTTTAATAGTTTGGGGAAAAGATAAGCAATATTCTTCTATTCTTATTTATTAGGAATTTTGGATGTTATGTATCCAGAATCCCTGATACCGGAATTCTGTACACCTTTCTTCATACACATCCCTAGTCATCTCAAGGGGGAAAATGGCCTTGAAGGAATGCCATTTGGGGAAAAGCATATTGCATATGGATATGTTATACAGTATTCTGGACATATGCACACATTCGTTTTTATGCACACACAGTTTGGAAGCCTTCGTTGCCACTGACTTTGAAAACTCTGAGAATACTTTCTAGCTAATTAAGGCAAAATTGGCCTGTTGTTTCATTTCCTTGCTCTTTTATTTTACAGCTTTTCTAGGCTGCCCTACTCCTAACAAACTCTGGGCAGGGAATGCCTAGTCCAGCTCTATTCATGAATTTATTTTATATTGCATACCTCACTACTACTCACAATAATGATTATGAGGAAGTAGCTGCCAAGTCGCTTTTATTGCATTTTTAAAGAGCTGTGAAATAACAGTGGCTTGGCAAAATGCTACAGCAGATGATCTTTGTTGGAAGAGGGTTGCAAGAACCAAGATGATGTGAAACTCCTCACAAATAGGAAACCAGAAATAGAAATGGGTAGAAGTACAAGTGACTGAAACCTGGTTGAAAATTCATTATTAATATGATGGAGACATGATGCCACATTCACCTTATGTAGAAACCTTTCTTCTGATAGTTCTGTTATAGTGTCTCACTGTCTACAAAATCATTAAGATTTTGGTTAGGCAAGGGATTGAGAAACTATGATTTTGAATTGATGCCAGGAATCAAGATTTAGCAAATGGTTAAACGCTATTTGATTGTGCTTATTGCAGAAATCTGTATGACTCATTATTGGTCATATTTTTATAGTGTGGCAAGCCACTGGCTTGTCTTACCAAAGATAGCAATCAAAGAAATCATAACATTCCCTGAATAATTTATTTACTATGAAGTGTGGACCGGAATTCTAATTTTTCCCCCTGAAATATATCAGGACTCTGATTGCAAAAACAAACTTTGATGCTTTTCTCTGATTTTTAAAAAGGAAATCAGTCAGAGATCCTGGTTCACAAACCATGATGGCATAATGAACAAAAGAAAGATATTCTGTTGCATAGTAATTCTGCCCAACCAAGATCTCTGGTGCTAAACCCTTCCCTCTGTAGTATAATCCACATCTTCCATAGCAGTCTGTTTATTTCTATGTACACATAATCTGCAGCACTACACACTCCCCAGTGTATCTCCTCCTCGGATTTCTAGTCCCATTTTGCTTGCCATCTTTTTATCTCCCATTACTTTTGTTCCTTTAATTATTAAAGACTTTGGTTGCATAGTAGAGAAAAGCTTTGTTGCTACAGAGACTGTACAGAGTAGAACCTGCCTCTAAGATATGGAGCCCTGGACCTGTGATGGCTTTTCACCTATGGAATTTTTTTTAGGATGGAAAAGAAGCTAAAATAAATGTTTATGTTTTAGCCAGCAAATGAAAAGCAGAAAGGATTTGTGCCCTTAAGTGAACCCTCTTTGTTACCAAAAGAAGATCCCTCCCTGCACTTGTATTTTGAATACATTATATGAACAACAGTAATGGTTGCTTTTGTGATATTTAGATTGGCTCTGCAAGATATAGTAAAACTGTTTGGACTTACTAAAATGGAAAGTCACATCCTTGACTGACTGCACACACACAGACACACAAACAAACCTCCTCAGAACATAAAACAAATCTATTAGACTGAACATTACAGTAAAACTTTTTCTTAGGAACTAATTTTCCTAGAGGGAGGGGAATTTTCTTTTGGCCTCCACACTGCCAGTAGTGTTGGGGAGAAGATATAAGTTTATCAATTTAGTGATTACATAACAATATAAAATGGAAGACATTGAAATTTTAAGATTCACTTTGGGGACAATGAGAAATTAAGTTGTTATTATATAAAAATAAAAGAGGTGGGGCAGTACTGGATGTAGCTTCCAATCTGCCTCAGTGAGTCAACTGAGCCTATTCTTAATCAGTTGTTGGTGTTCATCAATGTTTTTATTGTGCCAGATCCCTTGTTGTAAAAGCCTTATAATATTAAAAAGTGCTTCATTTGCCTTCTTGGGCATATTCCAAACCCTGCTTGATTGACTTAATAGATAAATGAGGTTTAGAAAAGTATGAAGAAAAGTCAACAGTTGAAAGTAACAAGATGATATGGTAAACCCTATTAATTTTGAGAGAACGAATGTATGGAAATATGTTCCTTGGGATTGGGGGAACTGCAATCCCACATTTCTGGAGGGGGTCAACTAAGGAAAACAGTTACTAATGAAAAGTGGCAAGGACAGGAAAAATCAGCAGTCCACAATAGTTTCTTGATGTAGGGCTTTGTCTGGCATTTTGTCTGATTTGTTGAAGGAAGTATTCCAAAAAGTGGTAAATTGGACCAGGGCAAAAATATAAACTTGGGCAAAAATATAAACTTGATTTGATTTCATCTACATTTACACTGAAATGTATTAAGTTATATGGTTATTCTTCAGTCATGCATTTAATAATATTCAGCTTCTGTAATGTTACATTATAATATGGTAGCAATCTTGGGGGGAGGGATTTCTTCCGTGGACTGCTTTCTAGGTCTTCACAGGAGAGACAAGGCTTTGGAGTCTTCAGTTGTGACCTTCTGACTCAGAAAATTAAGCATTCTCTTTTGGAGAAAACTAATCCTGTCCCCATGGGCCTGGGTTAAACTCTGGAATTCTATCCCATATCCAATATTTTTGAACATGCAGAGTTAATATCTCACCTTCATTTGAAATGTGAAGCCCTCCCACTTTAGAAAGGGAGGGAAAGAAAAGAAGCCCACTCCCACTAGAGGATGATTAAATTCTTTAGGAACATATTTTATAACAGCCTTTGAGAGACCAAGTGTCAGGCACACCATTCAGCTGACTCTTGTTTTCCCACTGCTGTTTTTAAACATACACATTTAATTGTGCATTAAATTTTGCAGCTTGCTTGGAGCTTGGGGCCAGATTCCATACAGACAGAGAGTAAGGCAAGAGCAGAAATCAAGAGATAGACGTAAAAATGCGGACCCTCATCATTCTTGCACTCCTGGCTGTTCTCATGGTGACAGCTTTCTGCTATGGTAAGTGAGTCTTAAGTCTCCCAATACTTATTTTTGGGGTTTGGGGTAGCAGTAGTCTATTATAGAAAGTTGATATTCTGCACACATTCTCATCTAATTTTATTTTCTCTTCACTGCTATTATCTCTGTGTTGTATCTTTCTTTCTTAGCACTCTGTTTTCAGTACTTCAGGCTAGATACTTCCTGTCTAGTGTGCTCAGTTGTTGTCTGTCCATTTACTACAACCATCCCATTCTGTCCCTTATTCTCTAGTAACCCATGTGTGTTTTCAACCAAGTTAATTGTTTTACTAAGAAGCAGTTCAATTTATAAACTGTATGCTTGTAAGATTGCAGAATGCAATTTGCAGAAAATACATAAGGTGTGGGGTTTTTTTTGGTTTAGCTGAATTTCAGCTGATGAAGAGAGTCCTAGATTTTAATTTGGAGAGATTGATAAGCATATTCTAGTAATACAGTGTTTGAAGAAAAACCTATCCTGCAGAGATATTCCAAATGTGTCCTTCTGAAGTTTTAGAGATGGCCAGAATATCCAATAAAGAGATATCAATTAAATAGGTAGATATTTAGATAATTTTAGATACTAATGAATAGGTTTTTATTAGACAATGTAATTTTTTGGTTGTTGGCTCCACTTACCTGCAGTGTCTAAAGAAATACAAGTTCTTTCAAGTGGTTTATATTTATCTTGCTAAAATATGTTTTGCTCTGTTGACCTTTTGTTGCTAATGTAGAGTGTCTCCCTTCACCCATTATTCTTGTGCCACAAGAATAACATGATCTAACCTGATATGAAACATGATGCATAAAATTCTGTAAAATGGTCAAGCTATGAGTAATAATTAGATATGATTGATTTCAGTTTGGGCAACATTACCTTTTTTGGTGTCTTTCATGCCTACCACGTTCTTGATGCTTTATTAATGCTGGACAAGATTTTATAAAATTGCCTAATGTGGAAATAATAGTACTTGGTTTGTGTTATCAGGGTATATTTATTCTTGGAATGATGGTGCATTTTATAAAAATAATGTAATTCGTAAAACATTTTTCCATTTGAATTATCTGAAAAAAGATACTGTAATCTTTTAATGTAATTGTATATATTTAGGAACCCCAAAATAGAAGCTAACCTTTTAGGCCTTGTAGGTAAATTAAAGCATGAGTTTGCTTTTTAGTGGACTATATGTATATGCTAATATGCCTTAATTATGAGCCAAATTCAGATGTTCTTATGACTCCAATATCATGTCACAATTACACACTATAGAACGCTTTATCAATGCATGATTGATAAATTAATTGTACCTGTATTTATGTTATTACACCTTCCACTAATATAAATAGATTTAAAAAATAATAGTTGATTCTACAAGTGACTCAATCTATTAATTGCCCAAAGCTGGGAATGAAACTTCTGTATTGACTAACCTGAGAGGATATGTTAATTAAACATCTTTAGAAACAGATTTTGGAGACTAAAAAGATTTTTGATCTGGGTCACTAGCCTGGTTTAAATGTTTGCATTCTTATAGTGTTGTGATTGAATAAGCCACTTTCTCTCTATTTTCTTACAGAGTCTCACGAGAGCATCGAATCACATGAATTTACAAGTAAGAAATTATGGTATATGGCAGTAGTGGTTTCCACTTACCTTTGCTACTGGTTTGGAACTCTGAGCGCAGATGTGCGCGTGCTCACTTCGCTTGTGCGCAGCGCTTGTGCGCATACACAGAAGCGTCCGTGATGACATCCGGGTGGGTGGGCGGAGCCTCCCACTGCCGCCACTACTGGTTCGCCCGACTTCAGTCTATCCAAACAGCCTGCTCAGATTCCCCTATGCTTTGTTTTCCCATTTGGGTACAACTGTTCTCTTATCATCCAAGCTTGTGATACTCTCAGGGAGTCAAGTGTTTGCAAGTTAACATCACTAAACATTGTGTTAGAGAACAAGCTAAGAATAACATCTGTCATAGAAAGGGTGGCAAGAAATAAAATAAAGAAAATAGCTTTTCCAGTCCACACAGTGAAAGCCAAGTCTGACCTGTCATCCCCAATGGGAAAACACTTCACGAAGCCCTCCTTATCTATGCCTAAAAAAAGGCCTAGTTGTAAAGACGGAAAATAATATACAGAGTTCTCGCAGTTCTCTCAGGACTGTATTCAAGGAAGCATTTTTAAGATTGGACTATTCAATTCATATCCATTAGGAGATGTGGGGAAGGTAGATTCATTGTAAGAATTATGAACAGGGAGAATATTTTTAAAATGGTGATGTTTTAATCATATAACAAAAATATTCAACCTGCAATAGATTTTTACAAGCAACTTTGTCAAAGGGTAAAAAAAAAGAGATCTTTGTTGAAAATCAGCTAAACTTTTGTAAACCTCTTTAGATCCACACCTCATTTTTATCCATAAAGGAAGCTACTTTTACAGCAACATAAAACTTATTTTCAGTTTTTAAAATTACACACCAATCTTTAGGATGACTTAGGGACCTCACAAGTTTAACAATCCATTGGCCTCCCAGTCACCTCCTTGGAACAAGTTAATATTATGGTAAAACTGAATTATATCAAGGGGTGGTTTTCTTCCCCCAAACGCTTTTTTGTCCCCTGGAATCCCTTCTTTAAGATGAAAAGTGGATTTTTCTGTGCCAAGGGAGGTACAAAGCAATCATTCTCTACCTTTGTCTGCACAAATAATAGTTAAGAATGGAAGATGATTGGGGATCCCTGATTCCCAATTTTTCCTTTAGGCAATGAAGAAGGGCTACTGAAGGTGAAAGGAAAACAGAAGACACATTTTTCTTCTAAGTTCTATGGCGTCAACTATACAACAACACTATTCTATTAAAAATTCTGGCCTCTTTTGCAACTGGCTTCTTTCTGATTTTCTGTTTCTTTTAAGCTTGCCATGAAATACAGTAAATGGTACTGTAGTAAATTCAGTTTAGATCCCAAAGCAATTTATTTGTCAATATTCTCATTCAGAATCTTACTACCATTAGTTTAATCAAAAGTCTTTCACCCTGTTGTCATAATAGACTGGTGATTGCTGATCTCTCCGTGAGACTGGAGAGAGCTCTAATTGTTACTGAAATGCCTTAAATACTGGAACTATTTCAAAAAGTTGGAGATGAAAATGTAAAAAAGTAATCTGGGGGAGATGGGAGGTTAAGAAATATGAAAAATAAATAAATAATTGTGCTTTCACATTCTGGAGATAGCAAATTACTGGAAAAAAAAAAAACCCAAAACACAACAGCTAGTTTATATGCATAGTGGATAACACTCAAATGCTGGGTCAAAAACTGAAAGGTTTTCTTGTCCTTGTGTTCTGTTTATTGGCTTCCCAAGGTATCAAAAAGTTGGACTAGATAGATCCTTGCTCTCATTCATCTGGACTCTTGCATTCTTATGTAACAGGATTTGCACTAAAATAAACAATCCTCCCTCAGATACTTTGTGTAGGTGGGGTGAATGAGTTGGAAGCTCCCATGGAAAATTATGCAACAGAAAAGCCATTCGTTTTTATTAATAACAGAAGGCCTGCATTGAACAGAACAAAATAATAGGTCTGGCTATCTCATATGGGGAAACCAATGTCAAAAGGACATGAGCACAGGATGGAGGGGGACGACACATCTTTTGATTCATATATTATGATTATGATATGTATCAGCAATTATTAACTATTTATCTCTTTCCCATCAGGTCCTTTCCTTAACAGAAGGTATGCCAACATCTTTATGAGACCCCAACCAGAGAACAGGAGAAACTATTATTGGCAGGAAAGGTATGCTTCATCAGACTTCAGGATCATTCAGAACCAATGGGAAAGTTCATCATCCTGGTGTCTTGCTGCTGGTTCCCAACTTTTACTATCCAAATCAATTATGGGAGCTGAACTCAAATTATCTGAAAGATAAGAAATTATATAAGACTTGCTTTGAGGAAAAGCCTTTCTTCCTCAAAAAATGCTGACTTGCATTTGGAACAAATCATAGGAAGAAAATATCCAGAAAGGTTTATTGTTGATACCCATGTATCCTGTGCATAGCTGAGAATCACTAACAGCCAAGGTACAACAACTGCAATGTACAATGTTTGGGGAGAGGATGTGTGTGTCACAGGTTGGCATAGTCAATCAGTTCTGCAATTTCCCAATAATCCTATTATTTCTCATCATTGCATTTAGCCCTCTTCTCCCTTATTCTTCTTCTAGTGCCATTTCTTCATACAGCTTTTTAACCATATCCCCCAGCCACTATTAAAGTGATAAAAAGCCTGTCCTGATTACTGATATTTTGGCACAAAAATAGTAAGATGATTCTAGAAAATTCTCCTGAGGGGAAATGACCTAAGGTCTAGACAGCCAATTACTGGTTAGAGGCTATACATTTTTTAATTTTTTTTTAATGGAGATCAACACTATTTATTTTATTTTGGCTTGACGGAGGTCAATGCTATGGTCATCTCACACAATTGGGAAAGATTTGTTCCCATAGATACCTTCTTCTCTGGTTTTCTGTCAGATGTTGACAACTTAAGAGTTCCAGAAGACACACAGACTGTCTTTGATGTAACTTATTGGCTGTGACTACCCACTCAATTCTAATTTAGACATGGAAAATTTGACACCTTCCAGATGTTGTTGAATATCAGGCTATCCTGGCTGTTGGCTATTTAGGTGGGGTTCATGGCTTCAACGTTTAGAGAGCATGGATTTCTCCCCTTGCTCTAAAGCAAATTCACAAGTTTGTTTTTAATGGGTAGATTCTACTCACAGAGATTTTAGCTGTTACTTTGGGAAACATCTGCGCTATTTGAGAATCCTGAAAAGATTATTCAAAGACTTTCTATGGCAAAATATGTGGAACAGAACTGGAAGTCATTTAAAACATGGCACAGGAAGAAAAGTAGAGTAAGATGGTACTTAATAGCTTACCAAAGGTTCACAGGTAATTCCCTCCACCCTGCCCCCAATCTTCTCTTTCATAATCTTCTCCTGCTTATGTTGACAGGATCCGAGAGCGCAGGAAGACTACCCAGGAACTTCAGCGGGAGGAATGTGAAGATTATAATCCATGTGAACGTTACGCTATGCGCCACGGCTACCTTGCTGCCTACAAACGGTTCTTTGGGCAGAGAAGAGGAGAGTGAAGACATTATATTCCCAGTGCCTAGAGCCTGGATTTTGTAGTTACAAAGAGTGACACCTTTGAAATGTATTGTTGCTTCTTAACTGCATATTATTCCACCTGTCGCTTCATTCTTTTGTAGCCAGTGATTTCTAGTATCTGTTAATTAGCACAATGCTGATGTAATGATGGTTGGGCAGAGGTTTTCTTATGAAATAAACATTATGGTTTATTCATAATATATTTTTTGTGTGCTATTTTGTCAGACATGAAAGTGCATATTTGTACACACTTCCTTAGAATTTAATATATCTAATAAAATACTTTGTGTTGGTTGTAACTTTAGAATATTTATGAATGAAATAAAGGAGTCAACAGCACTGTATCCTCATGATGCCCTATATCTAGGACAGTCTCTAAATTTTAAATATATTTTTTAAAGTGTAAAAGTAGATGAAATTTCAAAAGATAACCAAATCTTCTTCTTTTGTGGTTCTTACATGAGACTGTGCAAGGATTTAGAATGGGACAAGATTGTCAAAATCTCACAGGGTTGATGATCTCTGGTGAAATTGTTTTGTTTTTTGGCTATGCCTTTGAGTTGGTGTTGATTCCTGACAACTGCTTTGACTGGTCCCTGCAGTTTTAGGAATTCTAGATTTTTATTATTATTTGTCTATCCTGAAAAGTTGCTGATCCTATTATACACTAATACTAATAGGTACTGATTTTTACAACTTCATCCAGGCACTTCAGTAGGTCTAGTGTTTAAGTGCCCTTAGCTTTCAATATGGTATTAAAAGGCAGCCCCCTGAAATTAAATCCATTAGTTCTTGAAAGTATCCAGATGCGTATGACCAAAGAGACATAATGTTATTTGTTTCATATTCCAAATCAAGCAATAAGATTAGTCATCCCCCATCGTTAAGATTACATAAAACACCCAGGGACACATTCAATTATATCATAGCATGCTGATGTGGTATGTTTATTAGCGTTAAAGAAATGGGTACAGCACCAAAACTGGAGTCAGTCATGTCATTAGGTAATATATACTGTCCACTACAATCTGAATTCTTTCCTTCAATTCAACTCTGAAGGAAAGTTGAACTGATTTTGGTCAGAGACCACTATAACCACTATACTGCGATCATAGACTAGTATAAGTGATAAAATAAAGTTTAAGATAGGTGTTAAAATATATTTGTAAAAAATCCAACTAACATCTATAAGTGAGGTCTATATAACTACATTTATAAGATGCAGCCTATATTAAATTATAATGAAAAAACTAATAATATATTAAATACTATAACATGTAAAATTGGTATCTAAAACTATTGGTGTCAACAAAGTGATATCTAAAATTTAAATGAATTATACCAGTAGTTACAAAGAATGCATCGTGGAAGATTGGCTCATCAGGGTGTGATGGCTCTTCTGTGCTGCTGCACAACATGTGCTGTAACAAATAGTTTACAAGCAGCATCTGCGCATAGGTAAAATCTGGGCAGCTACAATATTTACTAAACAGGTAGTATGAATCTGGTTCTGATGTGCCCATAAAAGGAGCAATGAAGAAAAACATTTCTACAAATAC